ACCGTTCAACCGTTCAACTCTCTTAACGAGAGACTTGACTAGGGTTTTCTAGCGTCGGGGAAAGGACAATTGTAATAATCTGTAAAAAATAACAACAGCAATAAGAAAGACGCGCGAGTGTTCCAAGGACAGTTGTCCTCCACCCTCTCCCTCACAAAGGCAAGACACCGGATATTCACAGTAATTAAATGTAGCATTGAAATTTAAATCAGTTCAATCAGAGGCATATTACCTGGGCTTCTGGTTCCGTTTAATAAAAAGTATTTACAATGTGAAATGTGATTCTATCCTCACCACGACGATCAAACTACACGAGCTACGAGTACACATTAAAGTGTGGTTCCCAGAAGGTGGACTGATATCGTTGTAAACAGTTAATTTTCTTCACTCATAATTGGAAAAATCTGATTCGTTTTTCACTGCGCAGCTTTCTTAAAAACACTTACGAATCCGGTCGTGCATTTTCACTGTCCCATGTTAGATGAGTAGAGCTCCCCTCAAAAATTTTGAATCCCCTAAATAAAACCAATCTTTCCGGGGCACAGGCTTTATTGCATCCCCCCAAAAAAACACTATAAAATTAAAAAATGCTGAGAGATAATAGCTAAAGCAGCTTTAATTACAATAAAATATTACCATTGAATGTTCCATTAAGAATTCATGACTAATTGATCCAAAGCAACGATACAGTAAACTTGATTGTTTTGTTTCTTCACGTGTTACCATAAAGGCAGTACTTGATACTGAGCATATTGAGGGTTCTATCCATTCTAAAATCCCTAATTGATACTACAATTTACAGTCCAAAAATAAATCACAAGTATCCCTTCTGTCACGTGGGAGTCTAAGCACTCTTCGACCCTCTTGAGTAATTATATGAATAAACAAAAAAAGAGAACGTTGAACTTTCATATTGTTGTCTACACTATTTAGATGGTTAGTAAAGTACACCTGCTATAAGTAAAAGACACCAGCTTATCCAAAAAGGCGATCATCATAAACATGATCGATCTTCACGTTACAATAACAGTTTGTCTATCAACATGATCACCATGGCAATGACTGCAAACAAGCCACCGTTACCGTGAGAAATTCGAGTGGCACCATTCCAAGGAGGCTTATTTGAAACTGCAAGTGTCCGGGTTTTGACACATGATTTATCGGAGCACACAGCCAAAGACTTGATCCAAACATTGTATCCATCCACCTGCAGTCGAAGAGTACCCTTTTTTACGGCTGAAGCAAAGTCGTTAACAGTCTGTTCGAAGCTAACTGATTCGTTGGGAGCAGTGACGATACCCAGGGCTTTTATGTCTGCCATGGCTATGACGATGTCCACATTACTAAGACTAACCCAATTTGAAGTGTAGGCGAGCCAGTCCATCACATCCGTGTTCCATTTCAATTCACTTGCAATGGCCGAACCAACTCCATCAGCGAACCGACTTAAAATATCAACATTTGNCACCTGCAGTCGAAGAGTACCCTTTTTTACGGCTGAAGCAAAGTCGTTAACAGTCTGTTCGAAGCTAACTGATTCGATGGGAGCAGTGACGATACCCAGGGCTTTTATGTCTGCCATGGCCATGATGATGTCCACATTACCAAGACTAACCCAATTTAAAGTGTAGGCGAGCCAGTCCATCACATTTGTGTTCCACTTCAAGGAACTTGCAATGGCTTCACCAACTCCATCAGCGAACCGACTTAAAATATCATTATTTGAAAGAGAACCTGGTGAACGCCTCTTTCGTCGCATGAGATTTTCCACATTTAGCTTCAAAAGTTTGATCACATTCTTTAAGTTTCGTTCGAAACAGTCCATTTGGCTGATGGGCGAAGAACACTGGGTTCCTATGTTCCACAATCCTTTTAGAGACTCCCAAGCTGTATCCAGCTTGAGGAACGATCCCTTGATTGCCCAGAATATCTTGAAGTGATCCCAACAAAAGACGTCACAAATCGACTTCGCTCCTTCACCTGGATTCAAGTAGCATTGAGTGTAAGAAGCAAGAGCTTTCCCTCTTATTGCGTTACAAGTTTGATTTTCTGAGTCCCTCAGCAAAGGTGCCATAGCAACCTGTTGACATTTACGGACAGCCTCCATCCACTTCTGCGCGTCTGGACTTAATTTGGCCTTTTGTTCTTCGAACACTCTGCAAAACCTCTCGGCATATCTTATGACGTAAGCATTGCCTGAAGGTTTGCAAAAAATTCTCCTTTCAAAGCAATTACGATACCAATAACAGGAATTTCCAGCAGGGCTGTAGCACTCTTGAGGCGGGATGATACTGGGAGGGGCCTGCGGGTAACAGGCGCAATCGTCTGACACGGAGCCTGAACTTCTGCGATGCAGCTCGGACATGCACTTGTACCAGCAATAGTGTCGAGTGCGGTCTGCACAGATGTGATCGCGGTCACTTTTTTCTAGGATATGGTCTGATGTCAAGCAGGTTGCCCACTGGTACTCTCCCTGGTAACCCTTGATTTTTAAGCATTCGATGAGACCTGTCGGGCCTTTGTCTTTGTCGCACACCTCTCTGGCCCATCCACTCCGAACCCCAAGAAGCAACAGGAAAGTGAAAACCCGCATTTCACGCCAACGATGGACCTGTTAACTGTCAATGGAAAATAGCTAAGATGAGGGTTTCGTCTGCAGTACGGTTTTTGCTATTGTGCGAAAAGACACTACAGGTAAGAGTCAATGTGGAATACGGGTGTCTGTAAGGGTAACCCTTACAGTTGTTGAGGGCTAACCACTGTGGAGTCAGTGATATTTAGGGTAACCTGACCGCTATTTAGGGTAACCTGACCGCTATTTAGGCTAACTTTCATGCCATTTCGCCATTGCGTGTATTAAACACGTAACCTGCGATCAGGCGTTGGTTTTTGGTTTTTGTTTTGTGTTTTTGGCGAACGGGGGAAGAGTAAAAATGAACGCCAGATTCATTTACTTCCCCCAGCTGTTAAAAAGAACGCCTGATCGCAGGTTAGCCGAAACGTATATTACCAGTCTGTTTTAAGATCCTTGACCATTGCAAAAAAAAGTTCAACTAATCTTGCATTAGGTTGTCACAATATGGCGGCTAAAGGACGTGCCGATCAACATAAACACCAATGCTGCTGTAATCAAAATCTCTCGGTTTGCTTAAGGGCATTAACTGAAACACAAATTCTACCTTTTTGAAGTCGTCTCTCCGTTTTTTAAAGTGATTTATGTTCCAAATATTCCGAGGATTCATTACTGATTTCTTGAATTTCTAGACAGTTAAGTATAAACATCATCTAGGTTAAAAAAAAGGCTTCCGATCAATCTCCTGTCAGAATCAATTTTCTTTGGAGACTATGTCGTTCATTTGTTTGCTTCCTAGTTATCACGATCCTCCAAGAGCGACTGAACAGGTTTTCATCCCATTTAGCAATACATAAGACGAGAGAGAGCGAAAAATTGTATCGAAAGAAGGCATTTTAAATAATGCTTCATGGCAAGAAACTACTTTAATGCGTTATGTCTTCGTATCTCGTAACAGAGGTGACTACTTAAGAGCGGTTCAATTTTCCCGCACGCAACTTGTTTGGGACAAGTCCAGTCGTGATTAGAATTCTCTCGTGTAGTTCACACTTGCAAGTTGCGGGCGATTTCCATATTTTGAAGCATATTTTTAACCCTACGACAATCGTGGCCTTAGGCAATGTTCAATGATTAATACTGAAGCTGCATGTGATTTTTGCATGACGCGCCAGGAGCGCGAGATATAGTGCCCTGAGCTAGTTACAAAATAAATATTGAAATTCCATGACTGACCAGTCTTGGTGGCAGAAGCCTGAGAGTCGAATTGACCAAAATCTTAGAGGCTCTCACGTTCTTTATTCTGTTCAGGCTGCCGGCGTTTTTACTGTATCGAATTTATGTTTCATATAGATTCATTTCAGTGTAGGTTGTGTTGTCCGCTTAAAAACAAAGGTCAGACGAGGCCCACATGAATCCGCCTCCTTCAGCTCCTTAGCAACGACTATTTGCTGTCAGCCATGTTTTTCTCGATCATTGCAAGAACGCTGAAGAAATTTGATCTCGAATATCCTTGTCAACATAGTTCTTCTGTGAAGAAATGAATAGGGACGAAAGAAGTTTGTAAAACCTTTGTGAAATCTAGACTGAGTGCAATGAGAATGCCTGGAAAACCTTCCGATATTTCGCAGATCTTTTTGCTTCATCGACAGTTCTGGTCTTTGTGGCTGCACAAGGAGTATGCAAAGGCTTAGAGAAACTTAACTTTACTGAAAAATGAAACTCCGCTCATAAAAAGCAAGAGACCAGAGCATTCACAGACATGTAATTGCAAGGCCGTTGCACTAATCAGGTAAACAAGCAACATAGCAGATACATTTGCACTTTGTGCGTGACACAAGTCGTGCAGTTAGCACGTACTCTTCGTGTATATAGATTCGGTACTCACCAAAGGTTGTCTACTGGAGGAAACAGTAGTATGACAAATTCCAGCACTTTCACTGTCCACAGGAATACTGATGCTATGAGGAAACGATCTTGCTTTGTAGCTTACGGGTCCCGTTTTCACGCCCCGAAAATCTGAATTTCTTTCTCAGATAGGTGGGGAGGCTGGGTAAACCATGGGGGTGGGGGAGACTTGCTCAAAGATATTCATTTTTATCAAGTTTCGGGAGCTAGAACATTATCTCATGGCAAAAATATTGCCTGTTATAATACGTTTTGTCGTTAGCGATAATTTTTCTTTTTCGTTCTCTCCAGATCACACGTATTAGATACAGAAGCTTCTTACTTCCTTTTATTATAATGTGCTCTCATTCCCAATAAGTTGATATAATTATGGACCGAAATCGCTCTAATTCCTCGAATTCCTAGAACTTCAGTGTGTAATTAATGACCCGCACATGCGCATAATTAACCGTTTAGATGCCAATAAAGAAGCTCTAGTCAAGTCTGAAGTATTGAAAACAATGTTTTATTCTGATGGCATCACTCTAAATGAAGAAATTCTGTTATTATAAATTAAATTTAGTAAGCCCAGCAGTGACGCTCGACAAAACTTTAACCAAATCAGTCGCATGTGCCGTTACCGGTACTTGATAACTGTAATGACAATGATAATGATAATAATACTTATACAGGGGGGCAATCTCACATGAAGTGGTTTTCAGAACGGCCCTGTAAGTCTACTAAGAATATCTATTAATTTGGTAGGTCTATTAATTAAACGAGTCAGTCTTTTGTTTCTGAGCAGTCAAAACAGGAAGAGGCAGTGAAGCGTTACCAAGAACCTGTCAAGCAATTTAAGGGCTGTTTTGTTTATATGGCACGCCTGGTTCAGTATTACAGAACGAAAAGTTCAAGAGCAGTTTTGTTTCAAGATTTTACTCAGAAATTCGTTCAAGGCTGCAATATCATAATGCAGATAAAGGTTTCCTTCAGCTGAAGATGAGATATATGTAATCGTGTCTGAAATTTTCGGCCTGATTCTCTGGCACGCATAAGCCGATTGAAATTGATGTGGCTGAACGTCCGTGCTCCTGACCTATTAAGTTGTGTGAGCTTGCAATTAGCTAGAAGAGCAATATAGATCAGTAAATTTTTAGCAATTTTGGAGACATGTTTTATAATAAGTGTTACTAGGGAGGTTTTTTAAGCACGGCAGAGAATATCACGCTGATCCAAGTCTAGAATCACTCAATCACTACATAATTCAAACATACCTTGCAGCCGCTAGCTTATATTTTAACTAACAACATTATTTCTTCATCTACGGAACGCAATATACGTGGGAATAAGTATATTTTGCTGATCGAAATTCTCTTGAATTTCCACCAGTGTTTTTCATAAGTTTAAAACACACTGAATACAAATTAGAAGACGATTACAATTATGTCTTGGTTTTTCTTTCAACTGTTTGAACACTGGTTTAAGTTAGTAAAAAGAACGCAAATAAGTAAACTTGGCATATTATTTTGGTTATTGTTTTTAACGTACGACTAGCAACGTGCGATACTTTTAACATAACGAATTAAATGAAAACGGAAGATTAATGTTACATATTACTTATGTTCGCCCGGGCTTGGCTAACATACTTCTCACACTCACAGTATAAATCAGTAGTTTGTTTAAAACATCATGACTCCTTGTTACAATAAGAGCGTGTTCATGAACATGATCAACAAGGCAATGGCTCCACACAGGCCAACGTTACCGTGAGAGATCCAGGCTGCACCACTCAATGGAGGCTTATCTGAAACTGCCAGTGTCTGGGTGCTGTTGCATGATTTATCTGAGCACGAAGCCAAAGACTTTACCAAAACTTTGTAGCCATCCACCTGCAAGGGAAGAGTTCCATTTTTCACAGCTGAGGCAAACTCTTGAACGGTCTGGTTGAAGTCAACAGATGGAGCAGACGTGGTAACTATACCCAGGGCCTTTTTGTCGGCTAAGACTATGTAGATGTCCAGATTATCAAGATCAATCGCAGCATCAGTGTAGGCAAGCCAGTCCATCACGTCCATGTTCCACTTCAAGGTATTTGCAATGACTGAACCGACTCCATCCGCGAACCGACTTTGCAGATCAGCGTCTGGAATGGAATCAGAAGAACGCCGTTTTTTTTGCTTGAATCTTTGGATTTGTATCTTGAAAAATTTGATCACATCGTTATATGTTTCTCTGGCTGATTCGAAAGTCTGCCTGATCTTAGACGATTTGCATTCAGCTGCTATGTTCCACATTCCTTTCAAGGATTCCCATGCTGTATCTAGGTCGATGAAAGAGCCCTTAATGGTCCAGAATATCTTGACGTATTGAAGGTAATCGAGATCACAAATTGAAGGCACGTCCTTGTCCGGTTCCAGGTAACATGGAGTGTGAGAAGCAAATGCTTTTGCTCGTATTTCTTCGCATGTTGAATCATCCCAAGGGCGCATCAAGGGTACAAGAGAAACCTGGAGACATTTGCGAACACCATCCATCCATTTCTGTGCGTCTGCACTGAACTTGGCCCTTCGTTCATCAAACAACTTGCAAAACTTCTCAGCGTAAGTTATTGCGTAAGCATTGCTTGAAGCTTCGCAAGGGTGCTTCTTTTCCAAGCAGTTTCGATACCAATCACAGGAATCTCCAGGTGGGCTGTAGCACTCCGGGGGTAGGGGTGTGGTGGGAATGGCCGTGTAGGGATTAGACGTTGGACTACCAGGTTCACAAGAGCAATCTTCTGTCACTGGGCCATAATTTTTGCTATGTACCTCAACCATACATTGGTACCAGCAATAAGTTGCAAAGGGGTCGAGGCAATAGTGTTTGTGGCTACTTTTTAGTTTGATGTAGACATTTGACAGGCAGGTTGCCCACTGATATTGGTTATTGTATCGCGGTAATAAAATGCACTCGGTAGGGCCTGCTGGCCCTACATACTTGTCACACTGGGCGGCCCATCCAGTCTGCACCATAAAGATCAAAAGGAATGCCAATAAAGTCCACGTGTCACTTTAAGGTAAACCTGCAAACCGTAGATTGAAAATGACCAACATGAGCGGTTTAATTAGCAGCTTGGATTGAATTTTGTGATGAATACGATGGCTAAGAATAATCTAATCCAGAAGCAACGCTAAGAAATTTGGTTATAAGTTAGAAATTATTGATTCAACCAGTGAAATCAGTCCTGTCCCTTAGCACTCCCTTCCATGCTCTGGGCTCTATATAAGGCGGGTAAGAGAGAAATCTGGGACTTAGCCAACATGAAAGAAGACGGTATGTAATGCATTTAGTCTACTTCAACCTGTGGAAAGCAGTTCTCATGTTGGTTGATTACGAAACTCTCTCGGGGAAGAAATGCGAAATATCAGTAAAAAAAATCAATAAACAACATACAATCAATCCATCCCATACTGGGTATAGCAATTAAAACGCTTTACTTGTTGGGGTTAATGAGTTTTAACAGAGATTTTTTAATTCGCAAACAAGATGCTTAATCGCAAATTGAGACCAAAAGTAGTTGTGCACAAAAGGTTCTTACAGACCCTTGTTCACAAAGGGAAACATGTCTATCAGTACAGTAAACTAAGTAAAATACTTAAGAGCCAGTGCCCATAACTATGGACCAAACAACGGCACAAGTCGAAAAATCGATTTTGCTCATTTTTTGCCCATAGATTGGCCCTAGCTAGTA